TTTGTTTCGTATTCAGCACCTCAAGGGTACGAGAAGTCTGCAAGAGATCTGCTAAGGTGGAGGAACCAGGAAGATCAATGCCTCCAATATTTGGAAAATAAATAACAGATTTTTTTTAAAAAAAAAAAAATAAATTTTTTTTTTAGAAGAAGAAGAGGAAAAATTGTAAACCTCAAGTGGGCTGAAAAAAAAAAATAAATATTCTGACAAGTAACCCCCCACGGACAAACCACTGATTGATTTTTTTTTTTATTTTTTTCCCCTCTTATTTCAGAACATTTTAGAGATAAAGGTGTTGCACCGTGGTTATGACGATCCGAATAATTTGAAGTTTACTCGAATTAAAATTCTGGGGGTCGCCTCGAACGCCCAGGAGGTGACAGTATCGCAGAATGGCGAAGCAATCCAGTCGCCTCATTCTGTGTCCTACAACAGAGAAAAACAGGTAAATCAACGCCCCAGGGGGAAATCCGATCTTTGTCATCAATTAAGCGCTCTTAAACGCTGGGAGATTCACCTGTTGGATGTAAGATAATTTCTAAAATCTATTTATTGACTGGAATAAACACCACCGACAACTAAGAATTAAGAACTCGGCGTGCTTTTGCGACGATTTTTTAATTTCCTACCGAATTGCCACAACTCATGGTCACACCGTTCAGCGAGACCCTCTAGCGGGAGTCAGTTGATGTTATTTAATTTAATTTAATTTAATTTAATTTAATTGACCACCTTTCCACAGAACTCGGTGCGCTGTCGAGTCTCATTTCGCTCTGTCTTTCCGCGGAAAGCCAAAGGAGAATGTATCGCTGCAGTAACATACACGATTATTGTAGAAAAGGAATAGATGATAGCGATGTTATGTAAAATGTAGAGTAGCAAAGCTTGGTATAACGCAACGTAATGCACTGTAATATGGCATGACATCACGTGACAGGATATAGGATATATGATATGACGTAATATGATAAAATATAATATAATAAATATAATACAATGTAATATAACATAATGTAATATAATATGATAGAACATAATATAATATAATATGATATTATATGATTAATATTGATATTCTATCATATTATATATGATTAATATCATATCATAGCATATCATATGATACGATATGATATAATAAGATATAATATAATGTGATATAATATGGTATAATATGATATGTTACATAATAGGACATAATAAAATATATAAAGAATATAATAGTCTATAATATGTAATATAATATAAAAATATATAATTTAATAACATATAATAGAATATAATGTATTGTAAAATAATATAATATGGTACAATATATGATATTTGATCTGATATGATATAGTAGGACATAATAGGACATAGTATAATGAAATGTATAAAAAATATATAATATAATATGGTATGATATAATATGTCATGATATGTCATAATATGTCATAATATGTCATAATATGTCATAATATGTCATAATATAATATAATATAATATAATATAATATAATATAATATAATATAATAAATACAATATAATATAATAAATACAATATAATATAATAAATACAATATAATATAAGATGTAATATAAAGCAATGTAATATGATATGATATGATATGACATGATGTGATATGACATAATAGGACAGAGTATAATAAGATCTATCGAAAAAATATAATGATATATAATGATATGTAATATAACAATATGTAATCTGAAAATATTTGAACGTTATATTTGAATATTTATGTATATGGTTATATATATATATAAATATTCACAAAGATGGATGGAGAAGGCGAAGAACCTGAACTCGTACTGTGCCCTCCGCTAGGAGCGGCCAAGCCCCGAGACACCGTCAGAGCCGAGTCACTCATCGCTTTTTTTCCCGTTCGTTTTTCAAAGGTCCTGGAGATCACCGACCTTGAACTCGAATTAGGCAAAGACTACACGCTGCGGTGGAGCTAAACTGCCCGCAAGAGGCGCTGGCTGCCCAGCTCGGCTTTCGCAGCTTCACAAATCGGTTTTCCCTCCTCCTTCTGCCCCTTTCGCTCCCTAAAATGCTTCGCACTACGAGCGTGTAAGTCAGTTTGTGTTAGTACGTGTAGGAGGAGTCGTGGCTTGGCGCCGATCCTGTCCGGCTACACGTCGTCGTCGTAGAATGGAATCTGTTGGGTTTAAAACTTTACGGCGCGTCGCTATGACTTGGTCTATTCAAAATGGAAATACGAGTGGGAGAGGAAAGGGTTCCCCTAAGCGGATGCTCGCGGCATTTTATAAAAATATTGGGATGACCGGCAGGTACCCGGAGCAATAAATCTGCTCACGTCTAGTTTACACCTCCATTTGTGAGTCGCGGGTACGGAGAAGTATTTAAGGGCAATGATGTGGGTTGATTTGAAATGGAAATACGCTTCGATTGTCGGCGATCTATAAAACATCGCGGCACCTGCAAAAATCCTTGGTTTTGTTTTTTTTTTTTTTTTCTGTGACCTTAAACGGGCACTTGAGTTCTCCAACTTTTTGATCTGAAGCTCTGTAAAATTAAACTTGATCGTTTCTATGCTATCTAAAAATAAATCTAATCTCGAGGTTTTAATTGAGGTTTTTATTGCGGTTTTTGTTTCGCAGAGGGAAATGCTGTGAGTTTTCTGGGGTAGCGGTTCGTGTTAAAGACTTTTTGTACCTCAGAAGTGCAGTGCGGGACCTAAACAGACTGATAATGAACATTTCCAATTAAATTTTGGGGATTAAGTGTCTGTCAGAGGTAGCGGTAATCTCTAGAGCCCTGTGCTTGAAACCAACTTGAGTGGTTCCTCTACACATTAAACTTCCGTCATTAAACATCGAAATAGCCATTATCGCTCTAATTATAGGACTAAATCTCTTGAGACTTCCCAACACTTCATGGAAATTGGAAACCTAGGGGGAAAAAAAGGATCATTTCAGATTAAACTGGCCATATCAAACAATATTTTTCGCCAAAGTCACTTGTCATTTTTGTTCTGCGACACCCGAGACGCTTGCACGCGTCTCGCAGCCGCGTCACCCTGCAGGGAGCACCGCTGAAGTCCAGCAAGATTAATTTTCCACAGAATTCAACAAGCAGCAAAAGTACATTCTGTTTATTCGTGGTATAATTATGCAGAGGCTTTTAAATTTATTTTTTTTTTCAGCCAAAAATTCAATTCAACCCAGTGGCCCCTGGAGAAGCCGGGTTGCATGAAGCACGTCCAAGACCCAGCTGACAAGTCCATCCCCAGGCCAAGGTCCTGCTCAGGGAGGCCCGCGGCCATGTCTGTGCTGAACCTGCAGGGCTAAAAATCCAGATTTGGGCTGAAATGGTCTCATGGGCAGAAGAGGAGGGTGGAGGGTCCTCGTGAGGCTCCTCGGGGCCGCAAAGGCCGTTGACAAAGCAGAGCTGAGCCCCTTCCTTGGGTGCCTGGGCTCCCCAGCCGCCCGGGTGCCCTCAGACCGTTTGGCTCCCCCTCGACGTGTGTCCCCACTCCTGGCCCCTGGGTCTCTCAGAGGATGGGGTCCCCGGAGGACTTGGTGTCTTGGATGTCCAGGTCTCCCGGCCACCTGGATCGCCCTTGTAGATCATACTGGGTGTTGTGGGAAGGCATTTAGAGAACAAGGCAACCATGGCTTCACAAAGGGAAAGTCCCGTTGAGCTGATTTCACCTCCTTCTACAACGCAAGGTCACCCAGTGGAGGAAAGGAAGGTGGTGGATGGAGGTTTTTTTTCTGGATTTAGGAAGACTTTTGATACCGACCCTCACAGCAACCCTCTGGACCAGCGGTGGGATGAGCAGGCCCGCAGTGCTCTGGGGGAAGAAGGGGCTGAAAGGCAGAACTCAAGGGGTTGTGGTGAACGTGGCAGCATCAGCTGACCAGTCAACAAGGCTCAATCCTAGGGCCAGTTCTGTCGGTATTTCTATCAGTATTTTGGATGCAGGGGTTGAATGCACCAAGCTGGCTGATGCTACCAAACTGGGAGGTGCCGTGGAGTCTCTTGAGGAACAAGAGGCTTCGCAGGGGGATCTCGATAGATCGGAGCGTTGGGAATTCATTATTGGCATGAAATTTAAGAACAAATGCCGGATTCTGAGTCCCGGGAAATGTAAGCCTGGGCACAAGTATAAACTGGGAGAGGAGTGGCGGGAGAGCAGCCCCGCAGGAAGGGGTCTGAGGGTGCTGGTGTGCAGCTGGAGTGCAGTCCTGGGCCCCCCCCATTTGAGAAGGATGAGGAGGTCTTTGAACGCACCCAGAGGAGGGCAACCTAGCTGGCGAAGGGCGGGAAGGAAGGTCCTGTGGCTGAGGACGCTGGGTTGGTCTGGTTGGGGGAGAAGGAAGCTGAGGGGTGACCTCGTGGCTCTCTGCAGCTTCCTGAGGAGGGGATGTGGGGAGGGAGGTGCTGAGCTCTTGTCCCCAGGATCCAGGGACAGGACTCATGGGAGTCAAAGAATCACAGGATGGGTTGGGTTGGGAGGGACCTTAACGCCCACCCAGTCCCACCCCCCTGCCATGGGTAGGGCCACCTTCCACCAGCCCAGGTTGCCCAAAGCCCCGTCCAACCTGGCCTTGACCCCTTCCAGGGAGGGGGCAGCCACAGCTTCTCTGGGCAGCCTGTGCCAGGGCCTCACCCCCCTCACAGGGAACAATTTCTGCCTTAGATCTCATCTAAATCTCCCCTCTTTTAGTTTAAAACTATTACTCCTCATCCTATCCCCACACCCCCTGATCAAGAGTCCCTCCCTCCTTTCCTGCAGCCCCTTTCAGTCCCGGGAGGCCGCCCTAAGGTCTCCTTGGAACCTTCTTTTCTCCGGGATGAAGCCCCCCATCTCTCTCAGCCTGTCCTCACGGGGAAGTGCTCCAGCCCCTGAGCATCTTCAGGGCCTCCTGGGGACGCACAGAAGCAGGTCTAGGTGCTGCGTAGGACACCCCTCCATGCATTGCGCATCTTCCCATGAAACACACGGGGCCAAAACACAACGTCCAGCTTTATTCAGAGGGGCCCGAGGCGAGCTGGAAGGCGCAGGGCTCTGCACGGAGGAAAGGAGCAGCCCGAGCAGTGCTGCTGAACGCGCCCCGCTGCTGCCTCGTGGGGACTCGGAGGCAGGGAACGGGGGGTCAGCAGGGCCTGGGGGAACCGGTTGCCCCAGGTAATAGAGCAAAACCTGCACGGGCTGCTTCTCAGTCCTCTCGTTAATCCCTCTGGAGTTGTTCTTTCAGATCTGCACGGGAGGGAAGCAGCAGCATCAGAAGTGGCTCTTCTTCAGCCTTGGACCTCTGAGGGAGATAAATTTGGGGATCAAAGGAGGTACGAGAGTAAGGAGCAATCCTGTTCCAATTTTCTGTCCAGAACAACCCCCCAAAACAGCTTTGAACAAAATGTTTAATTTCCCTTTGGAAAGGCAGTTGGAATAACAGTCAAACTGGGTCATTTTCTGGCAAAGAAGATGAAGTCCCAGGATTCTAAAAATTCGTGTGGCCTAATGAAAGTGAAATATTTACCTCTTCTCTTCATCAGGCAATGGGAGAAGAAAAAGATGAGTCCATTGATGGTAAAGAATGAAGCCCCAACAATGATCTCTGGAATCCAGCTGATTTTATGACCTGGGAAGAAACCAACGGTGACTTTACCATGACAGAATCTTTCCCCCTAACGGAGACGATGATTCCTACCATGAGCAAGCCCATCAATAACCAACATCATCTTAGAGGGAAAGGGGTCAACTTCCCCCCAGCTCTGCAAATCCCCTCTGTGGCAATCATGGCAATGGGCATGGGAGTCCATGGCTGTCAAGACTGTGACGATATACTGGTGTTAACGGATGCTCTAGTGAGGGAGGGTTTGAAAACTCACTTTTCACATTGACATGGACAACACGGCTCCTTTCTGAGCGAACAGGACGTTCAGACTTCATCACAGAATAGGTACAACTGTAAGACCCAGAGAGCTCCTCTCCCGTGAGGCTGAGGTTGTAGCTGTAGATTTTCACGTTCGATACCCGGATGGAGACTGCAAATCCAACATCCGCATAGTACTGCACTTCTTTAACATCACCTGAGGGTGCAGGGATGGAGCAGAGGAGCTTGACGTAGCTCCCGGGTCTATAGACCTGCTGCTGAGGATCCAGGGATAAAGTTGGGGCCGTGGGAGCAGCTGAGGGAAAACAAACAGCACGTAACCCAAGGAATCCGCTCGCTATTGCCACCAGGAGCTGTGCACAAACCCCGTGGTTGTCCCCAGTGTCAGGACTCAGCCTCGACAAAGGGACTAGAAAAGGAGTTCATTATTCTTCTGGCTGTTCTGGGGGCAAATCCAGAGCCTGGATCTACAGAACAGCTTCTGGGGGTCACCAGTGGCTCTTTTTGAGGCCCTTCTTGAACCATGGGCAGAGGGAAAAAGACCCACAAGTACCAGAGGTAAGAACACAAAGCAGCTTAAATGGGTTTTTGTATTCACTGAAGGGCAGGAAAATAAGTATTTTTCCCTGCCCAGACTAGGGAGGCAGGTAACACACCCCAAACCCGAGGGAAAGGCCTGGGGAGGCTCACTGCCCTCAGCCCTCTTGGAGGTGGCACAGCTGTCAGGCCAACTTATTCCTGCTGTCTCAGAGAAATTCAGGAGCCCAAAAGGAGCTTGTCAGAAGCCAGAGCTACTTCATCTGCACTTTGGCAACCAAATGACAGGGCCATCGGGCAAGATGATGCCCTGACGGGAGGCGCGCGGTGCCTGGGCTGATGGTACCCAGCTCTCTAGGCAAGAGCAACCTACCCTGAACCTTAACTGAAAGAGGAAGGCTCCTATTGGACGGAATCTCTTGTCCCGCGTCCTCCACAAAGTACACACACGTGTACTCCCCGGCAGATGCTGCTGTGGCTGTGAGCTTGAACGAGGCCGTTTTGAGGGAGTAAGATTGTCTTGAGTGGATTTGCTGCCCGCTTTGATCGAAGAACCAAAACCCGCCGACTGTCCTCTTTGTCGCAGCCAAGCAGCTCAGAGTGACCTGTTCCCCTTCGTAATAGAAATGATACCTCGGAGCTACGGAGAGCGTGGGGGCCGGCAGAGGGTCTGGGGAAGAAAAAAGGGATTTGGAGGATATTTGGAGGGAGCTTTCGGAGAGGAAAAGGGAAGCGAGGTGCCCCTTTCCCTCCGCTTCACAAAACACGACCTCGCCTGGTCGTCAGCGGCGCGGGTGAGCTGGGGAGCATCTTCTGAGAGGTCAGACTGCCCTTACCCGCAGAGGACGCAGCCAACGACAGCAGCTGGAGGAAAGTGGTGAGAGAGCGGCATGGAGACGGCGAGAGAGACGGGGCTGCAAAAAGGAGAGAGAAGTCGTCACTGACGCACCAGCTGCCCCTCCAAGTCCTGCCCCGTTTGGCCGCCGGTCAAGAGGGCAGCCCCTCCCCAACCCCCTGGAGTCACACAGCTGCTGGCTACTTTCTGCGCCACCGTGGCATGGAAAGCCTGGACTGGTCACAGAGAAAACCCGTGAGAACAACTTAACGTGCCAATGAGGCCGCCCCGGGAGAAAAATCTGCAAAACTCATCACGTCCCTAAACTTATCTTTTCGCTACACGCAACACGTGTGGGGTGAGATTATTTCTTCTGTCAGCAGCGGTTTGGAGATTGGCAACAACTGAGATCAGCACTGGGAAACGGTGAAACGGAAAGAAATGGTGCTGCTGGGGGTGTCACAGGGTGAGGAAGGACGGGAGATCTCTTGGGCACCGGCAGGGGAGAAGGGAGGCGCTGAGCCAGGGTGCAGGACAGGACGAGCGCCCCGTCTGCCTGCATCAAAGCCTTGGCTGCAGAAAGGAACCCTTGGGGCTGCGGGCAGCTGCCGCGCGGGGGCTGTTGCTCGGATCAGAGGTGAGGAGGCTCTGGGGAGCTGTGGTGGGCTGGCCCGGGCGGGCAGAGCAGCCCCACACCGCCCTGTGCTTCCCCTGCCCCCAGCAGGACGGGAAGAAAGAACAGGAAGAACAGAAGTAAGAGAACTCACGGGTTGAGGTGAAAACCCTACATCATGGCAAGAGAAAGAGAGGAAAGGAACCTGAACAAGCGATGCAAAGGCCATCGCTCCCCACCTCCCACAATTCCGGGTACCCAGGCAGACCCCGAGCAGTGGCTGCTGGCCCAGACCCCCTTTCCCTGCGCTGTTATGGATGAGCACGATGTGGAGGGCTTGGAACATCCCTTTGGTCCTTCGGGCTCAGCTCTTCTGGTCGTGTCCCCTCCCAGCTTCTTGCGCACCCCCAGCCTTCTCCTTGCAGGGCAGAATGGGAACCGGAGGAGGCCTTGACCCCGTGCTGACACTGTCATCAACAGCCGAAGCTCTGGTGTGTCACCCTCACGCTTGTAGCCGCGAGTCCAAAACCAAAAACTAACCCCAGCCAGGCGGATGCAAGAGAGGAGCCCGGATCCTGGTGTGGGAGCAACAGCCCATCGCATCAACCCTGCACAGGACAGCAGCGTAGGAGGGGCCCAAGCCATCCCGATATAAATTCCTTTTTTCAAGCACTTTTCTGTCTCTCCATGGAGAGCGGAGCATGTCCCAGAAGAGCTGGCCTCTTCCTTTCCACTTCCTGGGAAAACCAGCCCAGAGTCAGGCAACGTGGGAGTAACCCAAGCGCCTCCATTTTGGTCTCAACTTCTGTTGATGATGCTGCAACCATTCGTCTTGGCTACGTTTGGGTGTTTCAGCCCAGAAATTAAGTGTTGCCAATGTGACAATCCAGGATAAGGCCTTGGCTAACTCTACATTCTCATGGACCCTTAGGACTGTCTGGGAATAATCTTGGGAATCTGGTTGGAAGTAACCTTGGGCTCACTAACGTGAGCCCAGGGCTGGACTGGGAAGTTGAAGAACATGGCTGGGTGACGTGGGTTTTGCTTTTGCAAGTGTGAGACAGCAAATTGTATCAGCTCTTTTGTGTTGGAAAGTGCCTCCCCCACGCAGAGCACGTGAACGTGGCATCTCCTCTGTAAGGGGGTGAGGTGCACACAGGAAGAGGACGCGTGCAAGTTCCTGACCCTTCTTCTCACTGATGGTGGGGAAAAATTAGTGCTGAGCAGAGGTGGGATGGAGGCAGGCCTGAGAGTTTAAAGCCCTGGAGCACAGTTCTGACCTGAGACAGATCTTTTGTAGACAGATCGTAACGGGGTTTCACCCCCAGACAGGGATGAACCAATCCTACTCTGGGTCTCGAGCCAGAAACCAGACAGAGGAAGAAAGAACAGCTGATCAGAACTGATTTCATAAGAACCTACACCAGAGAAAATGAAAGACAACGGTGAAACTGATATTTAGAAGCCACAACCATTTGCCACAAAGAAGATGATGTGTTGGGAACCCCTCCAGCACCACCACAGCAATGAGTTTTCAGCCAACAAATCTTCATCTCCCGAGAACGTTGGTGTCCAGCCGACAGGGCAGAACTAACAGCATCAGCCCTTCAGAGAAATATATTATTGAGGGTCTAACAGAAGGAAAGGAAAGGGGGAAAATGAGAGGAGAGGTAGAAGGAGATGAGATAAGACGAGACGAGAGGAGACGAGAGTAAGAGGGACAGGGTTATAGAGAGGATGATGAAATACAGGACAGGAGATTGGATTGAAAGCCGGAAAGGAGAGAGGGAGAAAGAAGAGATGATGACAGCAAAAGAGAGGACTGGAGAGGGATGTAAGGCTGAAGGGTAGAGATAAAAGAAAGGAAACAGATGGAGAGGGGAGAGGGGAAGAAATGAGTAAAAAAGGAAAAAGTAGAAATAAATGTATGCACGGGGGTGGGGGAAGGCGAAGCGGGGGATGAGAGACTCACTGAGGAACAGGAGGAGGTGTTGGATGATCATGGCACCGCAGTCCCGGGGGTGCGGAGGGCTCTGTGCCGGCCTGTCCCGGGGAGGAGTTTGCTGCCCGGCGGCTCTGTCCTGCCCTCTCCATCTGTCTGACTCGAGGGGGTGTCCGAGGGGCAGGGAGAGGAAGTGCTGCGCCACGAAGGAGAAGCCACTGACCGCAGCTGAGAGCTCGGGGGAAGCTGCGCCCTGGATGGTGTGTCTTGGGGTTGTCACTGTGTTCTCAGAGATCTCTTCCTCCCCACGTGCTCTAGAAATCACCTTCGGGCTCTCGCTTTGCTCCATGAACATTGCTCACCTCATCCCTCCCATGAGCTGGGGCACAGAACGATTTCTTGCCTCCGGCGCCCTCCTCCACATCAACTGACACAGAATCGGCAGGAGCAAGGTCCTTTATTCCTGTTCCCATTTCCCACACGACTCTTCTGGTTTTCCCTGGCTCCCATCACGCCTGTGACCAGCCCAAGGCTGCCAAGAGTAGAGATGTCTGTAGTCGAGTGACCCGCAGCAAAACGCCTGGGAAGGGACCTCTGCCGACAGGTACCACCAAGATGGTTTCACAACTCGTCTTGCATCCTTGCACCAGAACTGGGATGGCGTCAGCAGTTGTACGGGGGCACTTCTGGATCATTTGGAAGCCACACGGGGCTCAAAAACTCATCTTAAGGTACATCAACACCCAGATAAAAATGCTGGTTTGGATGTTCAAAGCAAAGGAGAACGGAAACAATCCTTTCCTTCTTTCCTCCTCCACTGAGACGGGGAAGAGGCTGCAAGTGAGGCACCTTTTGAGCAAAGACACAACCCCAGTGACGGTGAGGTCAAACACCACTTTAACGAATCAGGGCCACGGGATAAGCACTCGTGTCGTCCTTGCTGTGCAGTTTCTTGGCAAACCACCTGGCTGCCCACAAGTGTGCTGGCGGCAGCCGAAAGGGCTCGTAGGAGCCCTCCAGCTGTCCTAGACCTTGGCAGTCCATGTGGTGTTACCTCCCGCCTTGCAGTCAGAGGGTCAGGGGTGAGGAGGTGACTGACAGCTCTGAGCTGTCACTGTCCCGCACGAACGGCACGGGTTTGGGGGAGGACGCCCTGTTACTGCTCAACATTCTGGGCTGTCAGGTGCGGCCCAGGCATTGAGAGAATCCTCAGTGGAAGGGCGTCCTGGGAGCAGAGGCTCCTCCCTGAACTGGACGTGCTCTGCTCACGGGTGTCGTGCTGCCTTCCCCCCAGCCCATTTGGCATCCTCTGATCTGATCCTCTTTGCCCTCAGGGTTTACTTCTCCTCCTCCGACAGCAGCAGCAGCAGGATGGGATCAGCAGCCACAGGAGACAAGAGATGTCAGGGAAGACTCGCAACTGCAAACCATCAGCTGCTGCGTCGGCATTAGCTGTGTCTCTTCCTGCTATAAAGAACCGCGACTGAGGGGTGCTCAGCCCTGCAGAAATCAAAGGGCAGGCACCTTGCCGACGCCAGCAGAGACAGGAGGGGACCTCCGAGAAAACTGCAGCTTGGGAATGTCTCCACATTTCTGGGCTGAACTTGTCTCGGTCTTCAACATCCTCTCTGAGAGCGACTGCTCTGACCCAGCTGAGAGCAGCTTTTTTTTTTTTTTTTTTTTTTTTTCCTTTCGTTCTTTTCATCTGTGAACGTAGCGATGTGACAGGCAGAATAACCACAGCACAGCACCGACGGTTGTGTTCCGTAGTCACTTCTTCCACGGCCCCTCACAGGCCGGCAGCGGGTTCATGGCTTGGAGGGACATGGCCAGTGTGGCCCACGGTGTGTCTCACCTCATACCAAGAGGTGGGTGAAGGTCCTGGTGAGCCACTTTGAGCTCCGGAGCCTTCTCCTGCCCTCGGGGCTCTCTCCTGGTGGCGAGTGCTCCTCTGTCCTCCCCTCCCAGCCACGGCCACCTCCGAGCTGGCTCCAGGGGCTCGATGTCTGTCCTGTGTCTGTGTGTGAGGGGGGGTGTGTGTGTGTGTGTGTGGCTTTGCCTGAGCAAAAACAGTTCAAAAAGGGAAGAAAATGGCAATTAGAGTGAGAAACAAGAGAGGGAACAAGGTCAGAGGAAGAAGCAGTACAGGTGCTCCATTGAGGAGGAGATACCCCCTGCAGCCCGTGAGGGACCCATGGTGGAGCAGATGGATATTCCTAAAAGAACTCCAGTCCATGGAGCCCACGGCAGAGAGACAAAGGCGAGGAGAAATGAGTGTCGGATGGAAACTGCTCTGCACTGACCATAGCCCCCGTCCCCCATTCCCCTGTTCCGCTTTGGGATGGGCAGAAGACTCTGGAGTGGAGGAGTGAGGTTCAGTGCAGGGAACAGCAGGAGGGAAAATGTCGTTTTAACGTTCCTCCACCCAAACCAATCATTACGCATCCATTTTATTGTCAATAAATTCATTTCTCCCCAGGCGGAGACTGGTTTTCCCATGACGATAATTGATCATTAATCACCCTGTATTTATCTCAACCCACGAGCTTCCTCATTTGTGTTTTTCCTATTTTTTTTTTTTTTTTAGCTCCCGTCCCACTGAGGGGCCGTGAGCAAAGGGCTGGGTGGGAGCTTGGCTCCTAGCCGAGACTAGAACGAGTAAAATGATTAACGACAGCAGTAAAATGATTAAACCGTCCAAACCACAAAACACTTCAAAATGGGCAAATGTAAAATGAGTAAAGTGAGAACTTAATGTTGCTATTTCTAGAATAATTGTTGGAGGTAATTTTTGACAGAAGAACACTCCGATTGCTCCCATATGAACCAACAGCATGCACATAAGAAAACACGGGACACGTACATTCATTTTTAAGGCCCTGCCTGGATGACTGACCGTGAGACAAACCATACCAGCCCCAGCCTGAAATGTCCCATGGGACGAGCTGTCTCTAGGGCAGCAGAATGGGTTGGTGAAGCTGTTGGGACCATTTCCAGCTAGGGGATTCTCAAATGGGTGCTCCTTTCCCTCCCTCCTCTAGGCCAACAGGAGGGCTCCGAGTCGTGTCGTGGGCGACTGTGCTGCTCTCCGCCTCCCCTGGTGGGATAGTTCCCTCTGTCCCACCTCTTTCCTCTTGGTCTAGATCCAACACATGCTCCTGCACTTCTCCCACCCTAAGGTGCTCAAGCTGCTCTGCTGGGGAGGGCGCCAAGATTTTTAACAATCATTGTAAACGGAGCTTTATAATAATTTCCAGCATTGCTGGCAGAGGAGAGTGGCTGAGCGCAGCTCAGAATCACAGGATCATCTCGGTTGGAAAAGCCCTTGAAGCCCCTCCAGTCCAAGCATGACCCTCACCCTGACCGTTCCCAACGACACCAGATCCCTCAGCGCTGGGTCACCCCGACTCTTCAACCCCTCCAGAGATGGGGGGCTTCATCCCGGAGAAAAGAAGGTTCCAAGGAGACCTTAGGGCGGCCTCCCGGGACTGAAAGGGGCTGCAGGAAAGGAGGGAGGGACTCTTGATCAGGGGGTGTGGGGATAGGATGAGGAGTAATAGTTTTAAACTAAAAGAGGGGAGATTTAGATGAGATCTAAGGCAGAAATTGTTCCCTGTGAGGGGGGTGAGGCCCTGGCACAGGCTGCCCAGAGGAGCTGTGGCTGCCCCCTCCCTG